CAATTAGGTATCTTCCAACTGAGCACATAGCGGACTTTTCTCCTGAATAGTCCCGTTTAATGCTTCAAATTTTCAAAAAAAAAAGTTATTATGATCAAAAACATTTATTGGAAGGAAGCCTCTGTTTCAAAAAAAAATTTTTTTTTTGGATCATCACAGTTAACGCTGATGTTTCAGAGAATACATCCTTGCAAAAGGGGGAAATCTGCAGTTGGAAAATATAATTATGCCTGTAAGAGTAAGGTAACTTCTTAACTAAAATCAGACCGACTTGGTTTCAAATTTTGTGACTGTTTTGTTTTTGCCTAAGAGTTTTAACATTTTACTTTAATCGCAAGTACTCATCTGAGTCTTCTAAGGTTCTTAAGGGAGTATAGGATATCTCTTATCTAATTTTGGTTGAAGGAAAAAATATTGTGAATATTAGCGTTATGTGTGGCTTTCAGTCTAGGGAGAGCTATAACATTTGGATTGTTCCTCATGATTTATGGAAAGAAAAAGATTGACCAATGAGTACAGGGATAGCTGCCCTGATTATATAAAAGTTTTAAGGACTCCTTCCTGCTTACTCAAGCTGACAGGTATTTGAGCACATTGGGAAAACCCTGTTCTTCTAGGTATATCAGATTCCATTTTGCGTGTAAGAAGGGATTTCTCATGTATCTCCTTACGGTAACTGAGCTATGCGAAAGGTAGAGTTAGTGCACTTCTACAGACAGCCAAAAAAGAAGACAGATGGGAAGAAAAATCCTGACCACCTTTAAAGTCTTAGCTCCATTGCTTGAAAAGCAGGAGACCGAGAGCTAATTTCCCTTCTGCTATTGCCTGCGCTGTCTAGACTCTTTCCTGAGCAGAGCAAGAGCCGAAGGACAGGCAGGTATAATTCCCATTGCAGTGCAGCTGAACATGGAGACTCAGAGATTTCACTTGCTTTGGACCACGCAAGCTGCAAGACACAGGAACAGGTAAGAACCTCCTCAGAACTCTGTGTACAGTAACAGCCGCAAGCAACAACTCCTTCAGCATGAGAAGGCAACGGAGAAAGATTTAAACTCTAGTTTCTACTCAGTTTGCTCCGGCATAATAGAAATACACAGAGGAGGAGTACTTACCTGTGCACTTTGGGGAGATCTGGAGCCTCTGTCTGGCCTTTGTAAGGCTTGCTGGTGAGCACACCGTGCTGTGAAGCATTCTGCCTTTCTTTGACTACATTGCTGATCAGGCCTCACAAGCACTACAGCTTACGGGGTGGTGTTAAGCAGTGGCACACCTGAGCCACTCACAGCTTCATGCCCTCATGATTTGCAACAGCCCAGCACGTCTCATCCTTTCACAATTTGCAGCAACTGTGACCCAGACCAATCCTTACAAGGATCTTCTGCTAGCGTGGAAGTGAGTTAGGGTCTATCATAGAAGTGCTCACTCGATGAAACAAAGGATTAGTACTTGATTTCTCTGAAGGTGTTCCTTTATCAGGTGTTAGAGCACCGTTGAACAGTGTAATGCAGCACTAGCAACAAGTTTGTAAACTTGCAGTTAAAACCGTTGTAACCTTAATACAGTATTGTTTCTAACAGATATTACAATTTGAGGTGATTCATCTTAAAAATGTAAAAGCAACTGTGTTACATGAATATTCTGTTACCTATATAATTTATATAAGAATGCTAAAACAGGAAAACGCACTGAAGCTACCTCCAGTTCTTGGGCTATATTGAGCTAAATGAATGTTTGGCAACCTTTCAGGGATGGTAGGGCCAATCACTTTGGTTTGGTTTTGTTCCCACAAGTTGTGGGTGAAGCAGCGTTTAAAAATCTCTGTATGTAATAATACACTCCATACTATATATGAAAGTTTTAGTAGAATACTGACTGTCCAGAAACGTGGCTCTGACTGGGAACAGATTGGGCAGTGGGAACCTCGGGGGGAGGCAAGAGGCAGTTGGCTGCCAATAGCCAGTACCTCAAAGGGAGCTGGAAAAATGTTGCTGCTTGTTGATGTCGCTCTTCAGATGATGTTCTTGGGTCTCCTCTCAATTCTTTAAGTGCCATTCAGAAGCTGCAAGCTATCTTAGACATGTGTGCTATATGTCATTGACCCCCAATGGCAAGCTGTGGAACACCCGCTTCCTTCAAAAGCGTTGACAGAGAAGCGTGGCTCAGAGAAGGCCTGGGGCAGGTTGGGAAATCGGTCGCTATAAAACCCACGGGTGATTATCCTCTGAAAGAGAAGTGCGTGACATAGCAGGGTAAAGGCCTTCTCGCTGGATTACCGCAGCCCAGTTCCCAGGGACTACATGCACCACATCACATAATGTATTTTGTATTACTAAGGAGTTATTGGAGCCTGAGGGTAGTGGCATTTTCCTGCTTTCTAGGAGATTCCAGTTTTTTGGAAGATTATTTTAACAGCAGCTTTTGCTGTTGCATTTACTGAAGAAGGGAAGGAAGCAAATGTGAGCAGTAAGAATTTTTTTCCTTCTTTCCTTCAGATCTCAGGAACAGGAAATCTCTCTAGTATTGTTGTTCTGTGCTAAAACGTTACATAGGAAAGCTGACTAGGGCTGAGGTCTGCTGTGTCTCCAGAAAAAAAAAAGTACTCTCTAATGTGAAACAAATAAAATCTGGACTGTTTCCACTGGATGGGAATTAAAAGCCACACTAAATGATTCCCATAACCTTGCCCTGCCAGACAGGGCCCGTAGGAAAATAAGACGCTTCACGTAAGAGCGTTCACAAACATTTTGCTCTTTCGGGCAACAGAAAATGAAGCCCTGAATTTTCCGACTGCTTCTGCTGCTGTACGGCTCTGCCTGGGACGGTTCCGTCCTGCAAACAAGCACAGGCAGACCGGGCATCAAGGGATCGGGTAGCTGAATGCTGTATGCTCCTGCCTGTTCCTGTCCACTGCAGAAAACCCACAGACTTTGATAAGCCCAAACTTAGTCCTCTAGGGCTGAGTTAACTCATGAATGTATTTCTAAATGTAACAAAGGTTATTAGTGATAAAGAGTGTCAACTTTTGCAGAGGAGATGTTTCAAAAGCTGAAAATACCTTTATTAATACTTCTCTTACTCTTCCCTTAAGACGACGACAGGGTAAACAATATAAACGTAGTATACAAAATCTAGAGAATTTAATGTTTGTATTAGAATAACTTCTTGCTGTAGTCAGAATCTCTTTGATGAGCTTCTCAGTACCCTCAGATATGCTGCAAAACTATTTCTAGGTCTAGAATCACCAATGTTTTATTTCCCATCTAAAACTTAAAATGATGTAACGGTTTTAAATGGTCAGTAATAAGCTCTACTATATTTGTGTGACATCATATTCTGTATTATAAACCAGGGCATTAACCTTGCTATAAGTCATATGGCACAGACTCTCCTGGCCTAAATTTTCAGTCCTAACTCTAGTTAATTCAGCATGACTTGGTTTTGGGGGAATCCAATTTGTGTTGGAAAAACAGCATTCTTTTATTTCTGAAAGCATTTTACACGAAGGAAGAATGCAGGAAAGAAAAATTAGACGACTAAGTGCAAAATAGAAGTATAAAATTTATTTAAAACCACCCACAAAGTTCTGTGTAATCAGGAATGATACAATTTGTAATAGTCTTTTTAAAAACTCATGACAAGATTTAAAATATATTTTCAATTACAGTATTCATTTAGCCTTATTCAGTTAGGACAATAAAAAAATGAAAGTTTACGTTCTAAACAGATGAGACACACAAGAAAAATAGAACAGAACAGACAATTTCCACAACAACAATTTTTACATGTATGTTTCAATACTAGTATCAACATTTCAATGCATCTTGCTACATAAACATGAAATCATGTACAACAACTGCTTGCACCAAAAAACATAGCTTAATTAGATCTTTCAAGTAACATGCAGTCACAACTCACAAGTCTTCAAGTACTGCTGGTAAGGGTTCCCTTGTCTGCAAAGAAGATTTTAAGGTTCAGTTCCTCAGCTAGCGTAACTCTTCACAGCTCCATTAGCCTTATGAAGCTATGCTCAGTTAAACTAGGAGAGAAATATTTTTCAAAAAAGGAAGTAACTTTCATACTTTCTCCTGTAAATACTGTGACATAATGAAGTGCTTTTTCATTCTGATTATTTTTTTCTCCCTGTACATAAGCTTCTTTTGTTTTTAAAAAGTTATTTTATGTTTCAGATCTAAATACAGTAGGTTGGTAACTGGAAATAATCCAAAACCTCAAATTCAGAGCTCAAAAATAAATATCAAATGCATCCCAAAGAAAGAAGGAGAAACAAAGAAAGAAGAAGAAAAAAGAAAATGCTGGCAATTTTTTGTAGTTTGCTTTGGCATACCATTAATTAATTTTTTTATAGCAGGGAAAAATTCATTAGCCATAGCATTTTAGTATGTTGTGCCCTTACAAATTAATGTTCTTTCTTATGATACCAAGTTTTAAACAGCATTTTTGACCTAGTATAATACTGTCACATTATGAAGAGCTGTCCTCTTCCAAACTGAACAAATAATCTTAGAATAATTAATTTTTAAAGCCTGAAGCATCTAAATGTTTGGATTAGTTAGAAGTGGCTTTCTTTTAATGATATTGGGATATCAATCAAGCAGGTTTGCTTTTCTGGCCTACAGTTATCTTTAATTTTGAGAACTAGAGACTCACAAGTTCAGACACTGACTTTTTGAGTTGCGTGGGTTCACACAACTGGCATTCACAAAGTTAGCATAAAATCTGTTCTCAGTAGGTTCTACAGTATCACTACAGTTTAGAAAGTTAAGAATGAAAATAGAGGATTTTGTTTTTCTCAAAAATAGTATTTCTCTTTTTTGAAAGAGAAACATTTCATAACTGGAATACAGTGGGGCTTGATGCTCACACAGTGCACCCACTGGCTGCAAAGGAAGCTTTGCATGACTCAAGCATGTAGAACAGGGCCAACTTTGTCACTGCCTCGTATCACTGCAATTAGGGTAGACAGAAAGTGTTCGCTTTTCATTTTGTGTCTCAAAATTCACCCCACTGCGGCAACATCAGAGTACTGCACACCCTGCTGGGTCTTAAGTCAGCAAAGAATGGCCCTAAGTAGATTCTCACAACCCCATTTTATGTGATCAAATAAAAGGGATCAAATAATGAAAAAAAGCAAGTAATTATTTGAAGAAAAAATTGCCCAAACTTATTCACAATTCTGCTAAATTTCTGGCCAGGGCATTATCTTGAGGTACATCTTTTACCACATTCTCTTTGTAGACAAGGTTGGAAGAAGGACAGCCAATATAAATGAATACTTATAACCTGTTACAAAACAAACTAGACCAGTTTCTTTTCAACCTATTTCTAAACTAGTAACAATCTGGGTGTTACTGGCCAATATGTCTGCAATAGGGATATCATGAAATTGATTTCTGATGATTGTACAAATCAGTCTTTTGGTAACAGTTCTCATTTACACTAATGACCTTTTATACCACTACCAGTGTAAAGGGATATTCCAAAGGATGTCAGCTAAAGGCATAGCCATTTAAGGCCCCTTTATCCTTTTAACGTGATGCGAGGGACAGTAGTGTAAATGAGAGTCAGGCCCTTTATTCTTATTTAAAAAACACACCCAAACCCTAGACCCTTTTCCATTACAATATTATAACAAAAATACAGATATACATGTAAAATATTTATCAATCATTCATTTCACAAAACTTTCCACAACAGTGACTAAAATGTTCTGTGGCAACAACTGCAATACTGAACAGTTCCCTTGCTCCATTGCAACAGTGCTTCTTTGGAATACAGTTCATCTACTGTAACTGGTAGCTCTGTAGGTTAACTGCCACATCTGTCCTGCTTCTTACCTATGTACTTTTTTCAGGTCTACAACCTGTGTCCTTTCACTTTACGAGGAAAGCTGGTACGGTGTGCAAAGTGTTGAGAATAGCATTGTCAACTTGTCGCACCAAACAAGAGTCAGTCACCTTAACATAACTTCTTTAGCACCCCAGTCTTGAATTCATTGCAAGTACACTGTTGGAAGATTCTAGCATTTTAAAATAAATACAGATGGAAAAATGATGTGTATAATGGTCCAGTAGAAAAAAAGATGCTGTTGTGGGAAGAATTAAGGATACGGCACTGAGAAGCATCTTGTATAATTTAAAGCTAAAGTGATGAGTACGTGGTTAGGCATTCCAAACACCATTGGGATGAAATGAGGAATGAGAGTGAAACAAGGATTCTTACATGTTTGTATCTCAAAAGAGAGAAACAGTGATGCTGATACTCCTATACCCTTTAAAAAAAGGCAGATCATATTTAATTATTTTCTGTTCAAGCTCAATCAGTTCCACTTGCCGCTGCAGAGGAAGAACAAAAAAAAATCTACTGTTCCACTCTTTTCCAAGCAGTCCAACGTCAGTTAAGGCATTTAACTTAGGCAATACTCAGGCTTCTCACAAGGGCTATGGCTGATCTCTGCACAGGGATATAACCAGAAGGTGCAAAGAAACACTTCTGCTCTTGTAATTGTACACAGTCTGCAGAGTCTGTCTTATGTCAGGATTTGAACAGAACTAATAGGGCAATTCACAAGAAAAGAGGGCATGACGAGATGCTTGCAATAGAAGGGAAAAACATTCAACTCTGGAGAATCATGCCTGTGAGCAGTTAGTTTGCTGGTATTGCAAAATGTCTTCTGTTCAGCTACTTGCCAATATAAGAACAGAGTGTAACAATTACAACATCAAGAGTTCAAAAAATTAATTGGAAATATTATAATTGGACTTAGAAACAAGAAAACACTGAAAGATAATGGAATGTCTCTCTCTCTTCTCTTGGAATGAAAAATTATCAAACTGCAATATTCTAGGCTCCACGTAAGAGAACATGAATTAAAACCATAAAAAAGAAACAAACTGCTGTTTAAAAGATAAAAGGTGACTGGAAGAAAGAAATTTTGGAAGAGTCACAAAAAGAATAAATTCTTATGGTATTCCTGAGATGAAGATTAGCTGATTTACATACAATGCACAGACAGTTTGGGAGAAAAAAATTCACAAGTAGGCTGACATCTATATTGCTACTGCCGGATAATAAAGTAGAGCTACAGGGAGTTAATGGAAAACTCCTAGAGTAGCTGTAAGCGTTTAAAGCATTCAACAGCAGATTATGGTATAACCTAGTGCTGACTGTCAAAATAACTAACCACAGGAGACGATCCATAAGGACACCATGGACTAAGAAAGGCAGCTGCAGTATCACCGTCATCTATTGGATTAGAAAGCGATACCTGAAAGCGATACCTGCTAACTGACACTAGTAAAATTAAATGTTCTTGAGGGAGATAACACAGTGCTATGTTGAGAATGAAATGTCACCATTTAGGAAACAAGTATACAAATTACAGCATTAAACTAAAAATTGAACTCACTCTTCTGAAATTACTCAAAATGTTTACTATGATGGCAACAAAATACACATGAAATATGTTTTAAATCACTCTTTAGAAGAAATAAGCGATCTATATATATATATATATATATAGATGCCTGATGAAGTATTACTGTTAATAACGTTTGGTCTTTGGGAAAACCTCAAGTATAAATCTCTTCCTTTATGCAATTTTACTTTTGCAGCAACATACTGAAGGACAACCTAAACAACCTGTGAAAACTGTTTGACTACAGTATCAGATAATTCCAGAAGACATTGAAGCCACAGTTTCTCTGCTATTCCACAAAAACGCAAAGTAGGCATATCTTCAGGACTGTTGACATTGGCCACTCTTAAGATCAAAGAAGGCCCCAAATGTGTCCAACCTTATGTATTTAAAATAAGGTGCACCAAAGAAAAGTATCAATAGAAAGAAGTACCCTGGCAGCCACAGATGCGCACAGAGAAGGCTGGCTCAAAAGCCAACTGCATCCTTCACAGCTCCGTAACTTATTAATGCTTTGTGTCCGATTAGCTTTCCTCATTCTCCAACTTGATCCCGGGAAGAATGAGCAGACCGGTGATGACAGCAGCGCTTGCTACCTTCTCTGTATACACAGATTAAAGAAAGGGTGCCATGAAGCTGACAGAGAGTTCACTGAACACTGCAGGAATACATTGCTGTTATGTATAAAGAGTGTGGAAGTGGAATGCAATTTAGTTGTTCATGTATTTGAGGGTGTGCTTATTTCTTCCTGTTTGCACAGAGATTACAGGATTTCTGTCAAAAATGGAGAAAAGTTATTTATAAGTAACTGGATTAGAAAGCTGACGACCACTTGAAATAGGAAGCTAATTTCAAAGAGAGATAAATTTCATAGGAGATTAAAGGGCAGTTTGAACCTTACATTTTACATATAAAGCATGCAGATACAGTTTTATTCATACGTTTCCATAAAATCTTTCTTGCTGAGCAACCCACTGAATAAGAAAAACTAAAAAAGGTGTCAAGAATAGAAGCCTGAAAGGGGTCTGAAAGAGACCCAATGGTCTTGCATGCCTTAAAACTTGTAGTGAAGATATTATGCCTTTCTACAGCCTTTGAATCACTTATCATGGCTACCAACAATATTTCCCATGAACCTCTGTATTTAACCAAAAGTACAACAACATTTATTCCAAATCTCTCTCCTTCTGTCCTTGCAAGCCCTGTTATAATTGTGGTAGGGTTGCAGGGATCCGAGTAGGCACGAACTTCGGTCGATAGTATCAGTATCCATCCAGTTAAATATGAAAATTGCTTGAAGGCTTGATAAATTAGCACATTGCAGTCAACAGGGCTGCAGCAATGTATACAGGACCCAAATGTAACCCACTGAATTTAGCCTAATACTGCAATGCTGTTAAAAAGATCTTTTAAAAAAGAAAAAAACCTGTTGTATGTTACAAGTAATCCTAACTACTGAAGAAGCTGCCATTTTCCCATGCTTAACACAAACTGTTGCTTAAGAAACTATAGTTATTTCCTGTTTTCTGTACAGAGAAGCACTGTCATAGTTGAGATAAGGACTTCAAACAGCAGTTATTCCTAAATAAGAGTTAGCTTAGACAGATCTGAATACAACTGCTCTAGCTAGCAAGTCACAAATAATTATGAGTTCTTTAAAAACTTTTGGGATCTTGCAACTAAAACATTTTATAAAAGTAATTATTGTTGTTTTCTGTAATACAAGATAGCATGTTGCAAATCCGTTAAAGAGCAGAGAAAACTGCATGAGTAAAATTCACTGTTTAATTGGGCACTACTGCAGTAATTTCAGCAGGGAACCAGTGACTCGAACAGAACTGACTTCTGCAGAAAGCGTTACTCCTTTCCTTCAAACTGAAGATGGAGTGGTAGTACTGGACCCACTAGAGGAAGGGATGGGACACATTTCTTCTGGGAGGTCAAAGGTGTCCTATGTTGGATCAGAACAGTTTTCGCTAGCGTACTGTGAAAAAGTACAAACACAGCCTACATCAGTAGCCATCATCAGCCTACATCTGTATAGCCACCTACTGTTTTTTCACTGAGAGCATAATGCCAGCTGCTAGAAACCAAGCAAAGTATGTTGGTCTGACCTAGCCCTTCGCAGCTACCTTAACTTTGGATCCAGTTTCTGATCTGGCCATGCTGGAAGGACTTTGTTAAGGGGTAAGAGCAAGTTACAGAGTGGTTGTGCGGGCCAGAAAGCAATACACCCACAAATTTGCCAATGTCAGGAGACAAAGTATTGTTATAAAATGATAACCTTCCTCAAACTCAAAAGAATTTTTTTTTTTTTTGTGTACAAGACTGATAAATACTCTGAAATGTTACAATAAATAGCACACAGTTGTAAAAACAGTAAATAGTTGTATTTTCTATACCGCAGTACAGTAATAGAAAATATTAGCTTTCTGCTGTGTGCCACACCAGGAGATAAAGTGGCCAGCTAACCTGCCTGTTAGATATACATTGAAAAAGTAGCTAGTTAATAGACAAGTCAAGGAAAGAGCACCGCAAATGATATTTTGTTGTACGCGTGACGTATTTTTGTCACGTAAAGTATTCTTTAATAGAGTAGTAACTGTGAGCTTTAGCACCTACCAGTTCATACCATTACTGTTACGTTAAGATTTATTTTTCTCTTTTAAAATTTCCATTTCAAATAAGGTAGACCCGGACTTACTGATGCAGTCACTTGAGAGGTGACTTGCCAGGGGCTATGTTAGGAGGTATCCTTTTATATGCACCTATTTCCGTTTCTCAGTTCTTCGAGGAAGCTGCTGGTTTTTCAATGGAACATTTTTATCTTGAAGGTTTCAATCATACATAAGTTAAAGACTGACCTTTATAGGGGAAGATTCAAGTAAAAATGATCCACTTTGATGCTGGGAACATCTTAAAAGGTAAAGAGATGGCTCTGTGACTTACTCATTTTGTGTAGAAAGAATGTTATTCACATAGGAGTGCTGAATGAGAAATGATTTTTCAGATTGCATTATACAAGCTAAAGCTATCAGCACTATCAGTGAAAACAATAAACTATTCTTTCCTGTAAATGATTTATCACGGTGTAGGACAAGGGGTTTCAGATAGTAAATATATTAATGGAACAGCTAGAGAATGTACAGTACTACTTACTGTATGGACAGCTGGAATTCTTACTCATCTTAGGCTCACCAAAAATATACAAGTTTTAAAATGGAAATCTAAGGCACACAAAATACCATAATGATTTGATGTGTACTGTATATTACATAGTCAAGAAGCATAAAACTGCTGGTACAAAATGATGGCATAATATTGGTTTTGTTTTACTATTATTTACAATCCCTTCATATCCTCTATCTGAACTAATATTAAGCTTTGAACTAAAATTTGCAGCATACCCGGTTTTACAAATTTTACTTAAAATAGGTAAGATACAAAGAATGGGTCCAATTCCGCCATCCTCTGCCATCAACATTTTTGTTAATTTTAACAGGAATCTGTAGAATTGAATCCAAGGTCATTACATACTGATTGCTCCTCCAGACCTGACCTGGCTCCTGCAAACACTACACGTATACATTTACACAGGAGAATAATCTCATTGATCTACGGCCATATTTAAGTATTTGTAGCACCACGGTCCTAACTGGCACTATGTGTTAAAAATACAATTCATGTAATTTTCGTACTGAAACTGTAAATACAATGATTACAGTTCAGCTTTTCAAGAAAAAAGCACCTTGTCTAGGTTTTAAATAAAGCCAATCTAGATATTTCGAATTCCTTTGTTGCAGCACCACTACATGATAATATTATCAAGTATATTATTAGTATATTTTCACACTGGAGAACTCTAACCTCATTATACCTATGGGTCACCCAGCCGGGGAGAATCCTGAGGCATAATTAAGGTACAGCTTCATCTCTGGGCCTGATCCTGCAGCTCTCGGACACGAGAGGAGTCCCCACTCGAGCAGGCCTCCTGGCTCCGATGGGACAGGTACAGTTAAGTAGAACTGTTCTGATGGAAGAAGGTGCAGGATGAGGTTGGTCCTTAGCCAACGCTGTCATTTGGTAATTTGTTTAAATAAATAAGTTTAAAAAAGAAATACATAGGAGAGGAGAATCAGAAAGAAGAATGGGATGCTACAGTATTTGAAAGTAATGGAGTGTCTCTTTTTCCTCTGGTTTCACAAATACTCATTTCATGGTATGTCACTTTTTCAACAGAAACGGAGAACATACATGTCAAATGTTTGGAATGAAGAATACAACAACCCTTTCTACATGACATGTATAGATCACTTAAAATTCTTACAAAACATATTTGTAAAAAAAAACTGTTTGAATTTAGAAAGCCTGAGCTGGTGAACATTACAGACGGGTTATTCTTAACTAAAAATTTGCTGTTAAGTGTTAGAAATTGCTTGCTTTTCCAACACCTCTTTTGTATTTTTCCAAATTAATTATTTTTTCAGAATAGAATAAGGCAACTCTAGGGGGTAATTTTATCCCAAAACAATCCTACCCCTGAGGCATGAGGAACATTTGGTTGTCGTATAACTTATAATGCTCCAAATGAATGAGAGTTACGCACTTATTGCTCAAATAAATCATAACAAATGCTGCCTTTAAAAAACAAATAGTACTCCTAACTTCCAATAGCAACACATGTATTGGCAAGATGTTTCTTAATTTCATATTTGTATTATCACTTGCAAATAATAAAAGTTTCCGTATTTTATAATGGTTGTTTATATGTAACATAAAATCTTCAATGAAAAAGGGCAAGTCTAAAAACAATCATATATGCTATTAGCATACGTACTGCAGCTGTAACAATATGGAACTCTACACAGCAAGAATAAAATGATTTCTTCTGTAGAGTATGCACAAACCTTAGACAATATGATCCTTATACTATACTATTTCAAGTTAATTTTAAAAATAGAAAGTGCTTTTAAAATATATATTTACAGCTTAAAAACAACTTCCAGCCATCATTACCAATAATTTCATTTCATACATAGTGACAAATCTAAAGAGAAAAAAATTCATTGGTTTTCTAAAAGATTCACCTGCAATTTGGACTATATAGCAATGGTTGGAAGTTGTTAAAGCAATGGCACCATGAAGTAATAATTCAGCTTATTTATTTTTAACTGTTCAATGTGGTTAAGCACCAAGAGCTGTGTAGAGCTATTACTGTATAACTTGATTTAACACCATAAAATGTGAACCTGTTAAAATCCCTATAAATGATTTTTGTAGTAAACAGACTTGATTTAAAGCACCAAAATATAAATTCCTAAGGGTAATAAACTGAATGATTCAATCAAGGTTAATAACCTAAACAAAGTCTTTTTTAGAACGTATTAAAACTATACAACTTTTTTTTCTTTTTTGCTTAAAATGTGCTTGAGCACCACCAAATGTTAAAGTCACAGTTTAAGAAGAAATCCCCCCCCCCTTTTTTTTTTACCTCAGCCTTAAAATGGTTGAGATGAACAAATAGTAAACGACATGAGACTTGTTCTTTAACAGCACCTTAAAGAAACACTGGGTAACACTGCACCAAGAGGAGGCATTTGACACTGACACCTATGCCCAATGGTTATAAGGCCCTGCAACTCGGGTGAGGGCATAAGAAGATACTGTTATAACATTATCTTTAGTTACTGTTAATGCTCTGCGTGATGGAATTTGGTTGAACTCATTGTCTTCATAAAACATCTCTCTGTTTTCACTGGTTTGCTTTGCTTTCCTGCTGCTAGAGTTTAGTTCAGTATTTTCCGTTCCCAATCTTTCTGCTTCTTTTTCTTTTTCTTTTGCCCTCTCAGCCATCTTTGCTTCCCACATTGCTAAACCATGTTTTGGCTCGTTTAAATTTTTGTGTTGGTAGAAAACTAAAGAAATGCGTGTGGGATGATTTCGGTTGGGTTTTTTAATAGGTGTGGTAGCATGGAGTTCCCGTCTTGCACATTCAATTAAGATAGAACCATGAGAAGGTGCCACAGCAACACCACCAATATCATCATCCAAAAAATTGTGCTCACTGTCTGACCACATTTCCTCGGCTTTTTCTTCAGAATCAGTCGGTTGTCCCAGTGCACTGTTTTGTTTTTCATCAACACAGTCAAAGTCACACATTTGTTCTTGATGGGAGCTACCCTTTTCCATGGGGCATCCATGAGAACAGTCAGCTTCGTTTCCGACTGCATCCTTTGCTGGAGAGTTTAGCGGTACTGACAAATCACAAGAGCTGATCATCTGTGAAGAAGGAGAATTGTCTAACTGAAGCTGACAATTCTGTTTGTCTGGCTGCTGTTCAAGTATACTGGGCAGGGGGTCTTTATGGGCTGGGGGGCCTGGAGCAGTGACATCTGGAAGAATTGGTGGCACACCATTCATCTTATCATTCAGCAAAATTCCAGTATAATCTTTGACCGACACATCAAAGTTCTTACAATTAATATAAGGTGTCACGTGAGGTTGCTTACTACTGCATTCAAAATACCCGTAGGGAACTGAAAAATCTTGTTGAATATTTGTCACTGCTGTTATGTCAGGCTTATGTGCTAATGATGAATATGGATGTAAACTATCCACCTTAAAGGGGGAGGAAGCTGTATACTGTTTTAATAAAGAGCAATTTTTAGTAGTGTTTGAAGTATGTTTCATGGCATAGAGGTGATCAGAAGTCTCCATTTTTATTCCAGGTTTTAAAGCATCTGTTTTGTTCCCTAAAAAAAATGCACACCAAGTGTAAGTATTTTTCCCTCACTTAGTTTATAAAATATACTGTTTACAATATTTTCATAATTGTTTTCTAATAAGAAAGATATAAAGGACAACTCTAAATTTTTCATAATGGTAATTTTTATCTTTTTAAATGAATATTTTTATGACTTAAAATAGTATGTTAATTACCTTGCTGAATTAGTGCCTTAACCTTTTCCAGTTGGACTGCTCAGAGTTGGTATACAAAATAGAAAGGTATGTCACAGGGGGATGAATAAAATAAACAAATAAAATCAAATAAGCACTCGCTCCAGATTCACACAGCCCAGTTCTACCTAGATATTTCCTACCAGCTGACTGTTCACCTTCAGCAATGCCCAATCCAGTAAGAAGCTGTAGGTAAACGATTTTACATTAATTGCTGAAATTTAGGCTGTCCAAAATCAAGCCTGTGAAAAAAAATCAAAACTCTTGACAGCCTTACCCCAAATTATGACTGAAGAAAAAAGTATGTTTATAGATCATGTTCATCTCACCAAAAAAAAAAACTGAATTACAATGATCTGTGCATTAGCAAGTATCTGCTCAGAATTAAAAAAAAAATTTCTGGCAACGTACTCCAGGTAAATAAATTGTTACAAACCTGCAACATGTGATTTGGCTCTGTCTCCCCTCTAATTGCCAAACATTAATTATTTCAAATCAGTTTCTAGTCCTGGCACCCTGCAATTGTGCGCTTTTATGGAACGGTCTCCTCAAATGGCTTGTTCTTGTCATGGATAAGTTTCCTTCAGAGTCCACTGAAGTAACGGGAAAAGATTCCACTGCCTTTGACCGCCTTTGCATCAGGCCCTAAAATTGCTTTACGTCTCTCTTGCTGGCAAACCTGCACCCCACAGAGAACTCTTACATAGTCTCATAGAAGACCGGCTCTGTCAGTGTTTCTTTGCTCCATAAATACACAGAATGTTTAACTGCTTGAATTAATACCGAATATAGAAGAACTATCCTCTTTCGTATTCTCTCTTCTAGTAATATATAAATACCTATGTACTAAAAAACAGTATTTCAACAGGAATAAGAAAAAAGCAAACAGGGATAAATTATGGACACACAATACAGTTAGTACACAAATACTGAAATTGTGTAGGAACAGAAGAAAACTGCATCGACTCTTTTAAAGACCTGTTCTATGAAATCAAACCCAAAGTCATTTAATTAAGAAAAACCCACACCAATGCCTTCTTCCTAAAATATTTGAAATAGCAATTGAAAATTGCATTTTCCATCATCTCTGAAAGAGACCGGTATTCTCTGAATATAAGTCTTTACACAACCCCCAGTACTCTCGCAACGGCTGCGGCTCCAGCAAATTCTCCACCTCTTGCCAGAAGCAACTTGCTCTATGGGACCAAGGAGCAGAGATCAGGGTGGCAGCACCGTTAGCAGAGGGGAGGAAGTGGGACAAGGAAACAGAGGCAGCAGGGCTTCTGCAGGGGAGGAGGGCAGGAACTTTGGGGAGACAGTTTGTTTTAATTAGATACAAATAATTCACACTACTGCTGAATCAAACTAGTATTAATGCTGATTTAACCTATCATCTGTGGATTATAAATGTGAAAATATGGTAACTGAAATGGTACCTGCCACTGTAAAACTAAGAGGAGAAACAAATGTATATTTAAATTATGATTACATGTCCTCTGAACTGAAACTGAAACACTGAAACTACTTCAAGTAAAAATTAGCATTTTCTGCCTTTATGTATGAGAGATACAAATACCCATCTGGTCTGGCAAAAAGCTACACATTCCTTTGAAAATAAGATTAAACAAAAGTCAGAGGAAGTTTTGATTAGGATAAAAATATTACAGATGTTAATAAACAGAAGTTCATTCAAATTATGCGAGTAATCAGCAACGGTTCGGATAAGATGGCATCATTCCCCATGAACACCTCCTATCCCAACACAATCTGGAGCGACTCCATCGGGACCTGGTGGCTAGCGTACTCCTCCGCCTTGGCCCAGCTGCTCGGGGGCCAGCTCAAAAACTGGCTCTAAGCTGGTGGCTCATTTCTGGTTCTGTACAGGCTAAGAATTGCCAGCCATATGGATTGAGTATTTAGGGAGACAAAATAACCTGTCCATGTGTAAAGATTATTTGTCCAGAATAGTGTGATTAATAACAGGACTATATAAGGAAGGATGTAAGGCCTCTACCTTTAATGTACTTCATAACAATTTAGCATTTCAAAGGCTCTCAGTATTATCACAAATGTAGAAATTTAGAGTTGTGCTGCTCAGTATTGATAAAAGGTGCATGACAAATAGGTCTTTTTAATAGCCAGTGTTCTACAGAGGACTTGACAGCCAGTACTCTAAACAATTCTTCACGTATACGTGTCTGACAAGCAGACTTAAATCTGTCTTCAGCACTAAAACGGTCCTCCTCAACACCATCTTTGCAGCAACACAAAAACATAGGGCTGTCCTCTTTTATCACTTTTCCAGTTACCAATGTGATGAAGACACGTGGGTCTGAGGATTCTTTTAAGGTTTTCAGGTTTTCCAGCTGGGGGGATATAATAACGGCTCTGAAACGACAGTCAGCTATCTTCCAAGAGAAGATACTAAATCTACGTGATGGACAATAGGGAATAACCAGCCTTGTGATTCCTTCAGAATCCTCCTAACCTGCTCCAAGGAGTGTGACTCGCACAGCCTAAAGCACGACAGATTGTGCCCCTTACATACAATGGTCATCTCATCTCATACAACTGCACATTCTCCATATTCTTTTTAATATTTAAAAAGCAAAAGCAGTACTCTGAAATCATCCTCATCAGTACATTTGAGTGCTATGCATTGCATATACCATGTATCGGAATTTCTTCCTTTCCAATGGATGTGAAATCTTTGAAATCTTACTATGTAGCTGAATATTCTTTTCCTCTTATATTAGGAGAAAATTAATGGCAGTATCTGACTTGTTTAATGTACCTCTGTCAGTACTCTCTTTATTCATCATTTACCTAAAACTATACAGCCAATATTTTTCTTCTTTCCCTAATGAGTTTTTCTATCCTTTACTTGTTTTCATTATCTACTTTTCAAACCCTTCTGCCTTTTGTGTTTCAGTGGTGCAACCAGAATTCAATGTCACTATTAATGTGAAGGAACAGTGATTTAAATAACCAATTGTTTCCTTCAGGAGTGACTACTGGATGGTCTAGTTTCACCTCCTAACTCACAAGCTTTTGGATTCTGTGTTCATATTGAACCTAATTATCTCAGCTACACTAAAATTTTTCATTTCTCAGGATTAAAATGGTATCTGCCACTGCCAGAATGAAAAGGACCAACCAATGACTCATCCCCTTCAACAGCAAAAACATGTTTGTACAAGTATAATGCTACAGTATTCTACATCCATTATTTACAGACCTTTATATTTTACTGTGCGTTAGGGTTTTGGAGGAAGGGGCAGAGCAGCAGTAGTGTGCTGAGGGCTTTACAGTGACATCCAGGCGTTGTCCTGCGTGGCTGCAGTGAACACATAAAGGCTATGCAGAAATACTTCAAGTTATTTATCTCACGCAATGCACAACACCTTGCGCTTTCCAAACCTGAATTTCCTCTGCTGCAGCTGCCCAGTTACTGAGGCCTCTTTAAAACTGTTTCCGTAATTCTGTGGCCATTTGTGCCATCTGCAAATTGGGGGATGACAGTGTTTACATGTTTTTTCAAGTCACAAATAAGGGCACCAACACCACCTCACCACTTGCAGAATCTGGGGGGGGGATTCCACTGTCAAAACTTCTATGATAAAAGCTTAAATATTTGTATTCCTATCTTATTTTTCAGCTCTGAACAACTTTCTTACTCATGAGAGTATTTCTTTCTCACTCTGTGACTTATTTTTACTAGCAGCCTTTAAAAATTACTTTACAAAAATATTTAAAGTCCACATAAATTATATAAGCTAGCTTGACAATGCAGTAATTTTATTATGTTTGCATGCTCAAGGAATTTTAAGATAAAGTCCTATGTTCCCAAAGCATACAGCAAAACTCAGGATCTCATACCATTCCTTAAAGGCTTGGTTTTCAAGTACAGAAGCCATGCTTATTTGTAACTTCGTCATGTTCTGGTGGACAGTTCCTAATTCCATTTAAAAGAATTTTCTAGTGAGATTACGCGATGTCAGAATTCCTTCCCAAGCCAGAATCCTCTAACGATTCCAGGACTTCCCGTCCACCCTGCGCACCAGGGAAGTTATTAATCATTGCTTCAGAGTTATTGCTGGATGTCTTCCTCGGGGTGGTGGTGGGGGAAAAAAAAATTTGTTTCACAGCCTATACTATATCTTCTAAACTTGTGTACAGGTTAACTGAATGACTATCTCATTTCCTAAAGGTGTCAATAATACCACTTTTCTTGTTTTTATTCCATCTTGTTGTATTCACAGTTTATTTGTTGCCCCGATTCCTTTACTGAGGTAAAGCAAAGTGCCGAGTACAAATTACAAAAATACATTTCAGATGGATTATTTTGCAGTATTTTTTCCCTAAAATGCAGACATTCTTTTAAATCCAATTCTCCTCTTAAATCTGTCACATGTATCTGCATCTCTCTCATGAAAAAAAAAAATCAAAATTACAGCATGTTGGCTGTCTGATTTTCCTCTATTCTTTCCAAAAGGCACGTAGTCTATGTTTTAATACCGTTAATTTATTTTCTCCCCTCTAATCATGGCTTTTATTCCATAGCTTCATATTCCTTTTCCTCCTTTTCTACTTTTCATTGCTGCAAAGTCCCCCAGATGAGTTTTATCCTCTGTTTTGAGATTAATGGTCCAAAATCTGATCTCAGATACAGTATCATGAATCTAAAGCAACACTGCACAGCTCAGTCAAGTAACGGCTCTACACTGCAGAAACAGGTAACTGTTGCAAAAGACTCTGTGGCCATAGCCACAGAGCCACATCAGCTTATAACACAGGAAAACATGGCATACTTTTTACCTAGCCGCTATCAGATTCCACCTTTCTCCCCCTTACTTAAAATACTTCAAGAGAGAATTTGAGAAGTACCTCCTATTAGATAAAAACTTGCTTTTTGAAAATCGTTTGCTTTGCGCCGATATCCGTGACACTGAAGAATCAGAAGACAGAAAATTGTCTTATTATGCAGTTAAGCGTTATATGTAGTCGACTTCCACAGTTTCTCAGAAAGCCGTTACTTTTCATTCAAAGTGGACAATACCATTCTTGTATTTTCAAATGGTAGAAATTTAAGCCTGTTATTGAGAGAAATATTCCTACAAAAATATTTCAAGATCCTCCTACTGCCATTATTTATTGGAAGAAGAGAACTTGGAAATATCCCATTGGTGCAATGTCATTATCTACCGTTATTAATGTAACACCATGAACTTATTTTTGGGTCATCATCTGTTTTCTCCTGTGCCAAGAGAGAATAATGACTACAATGACTTGTTCATCATCTCCTGAAAAGCAGAATATGCAAATATTTCATAAGAATGAATACTGAGGAGTTTTTCCTTCCCTTCAGATGGAAAAAACACAATATAGTATCAGCAGAGACTGGCAGAATTTAGTAAGGTATCACTCACCTAAACAATGCAGCGCGTTGCTAAGATTTTCTGGTGCTTCAGTTTTCAGCTTCACTGGTGTTGAATATTTTTTATCTATTAACGCCTGCTTTTCAGTCGGGGTCCTCCTTGTGTCTGGTTTCTTTTTCTTTGTAGCTCTAAGAGGCTCAGCTAACATTCGTACTTCTCTGGGAAAAGCTGTAAGCACCTGTATTGCCCCAGCCTTTATCTTGGCTTCCAATCCCTCTTCAGTGCCGAATTCATCTGTTTGTGAAATTTTGTAAAGAGGTAACACATGGAGCTGCTCATCACTTGGAATCACCCCCACTCTCCGGTTATCTTCCTTTGTCAATGTACAGACCTGACAAAAACAGGAACATTTACAAATACAACCACATACATAAAATACAATTATTTAAATATTTAAGCAATCATCCTAGACTTAATCGCTGTCTCATATTTTATGGCCTGAATGCTATAAGTCTTTCTAATGAAAACAGTTGACAAATATTTTGTTTGATTTACAATGCAGAAAAAAATTAAGTGATATCCAAAGAAAAAAAATCTAGGCATATATCTCGAACAGACTCTTTGTTCGGGGAAAATGCAATTTTGGGTCAACTCATATTATCTACAAATACATGCCAAACTCAGTAGATAATTTCAGCTGGAAATATACTGGGAATTCCTAACCATTTTTTTTGTGTGTGTTTTTACAATATATTTGATGCTCAGATTAAGTTTTAAGAATTAAAAAAAAAATTCTGAAAAACAAATGAAAATATTTTGTCTTGGGCTGAACAAGAAGTTTCCAGAGACATGGAACTATTTGGTTTTTTTTTTCTGTTTTGGCTAGCAAAAGAAAAATAACAGCAGTTATTCATGTTGCTCTGTATTTTAAGCAAATCTCAACTCTAACTCTCTGTCTCTCTATCTACGCTTTTCTTAAATTAACACTCTTCCCCAACTCTGCCTGCCTGCTTTATTAAAACCAGGGGCTCAGTTTGGTCTCTCTTAGGCCACTGACCTACTTTCTCTTATACAATTCTATGCTGCTGTAAGAGACTGCAGTCAAGAGGAGAAAGCTGGTTAGATCCAGTTTGATAGGACACATCAGAAGCGTGAATAAACACCCAAACTTTGGCATTTATTAATTATTCTTATAATGTTTCCAAATCACTCCTGGACCTTTATACTACTTATTTTCAGAACTTCTAGCGGTCCAGCCATTATTAATATTAAACATTCACCTTAAAACAAGAGCTAAAAACATCGTTATGCTTGTTTCCTAGGGATAAAATAACTTTCTTAAAAAAAAGAACAGATAACATTTATCTGGTTTTGTACTGTGCTTTCCAAGGGATGGCTATGGTTTTACATTATGATCAAGCATATGAATAATCACACCATTAATGGTTTTATTGATGACATTCAAAAGAGACTATTAGTTCTCACAAAAAGGCACTACATTACTAGAAAACCAGGCATTATTATCATGGCTCAGTAGAGCTGCTACTTCTCTGGGAGTTATTAACTACACACATACAACAATGTGAGCACCATCCAAAGATATAATGATACTCCCTAAACGGAAACATTATCATTCCATCATTGTGTAGATTGTATGCGATGCCAATCACGACACAGTTAATGCGATTTTCCAGACTCTTGTCACCATGCCTAACATTCCAGAGGAGAAGGAGGATATAATTTAGGGAAAACAAACACATTTTATTTTATAGCACAGCTTTCACATAAAGGCATCACAAAATTATCTCCAGAATAATATAATTACAGAATCACAAACTAAAAGTCCTAAATAAATAAGGTAGTTAAGGATTTATAAATAGCTGTATGCAAAGCTTGACAGTTGCAGAGCAGCAAAAGGAGAAAATTTAAGGGGTACAGACAAAGGAGGAGAGCTTTTCAGGTGGCATTTTAAAAAGGATCAGGAGAAGGGCTCTCGGGAGGGTGAAGGGGCAATTAGAAGCCAATGAGTAGCATTTACTGATGTGCTTGATCCATGCATACTTACCACTACTGGGCAGCCTTTTGACTATGAGGAAGATTTAGAAAAAACAACAAGTTGTTCCATGAGCAGCAAACGAAGCCTTGTTTCCTATGTGCTTCTCTGTCCCCACGTACCCCTCTCCCAGCCCCGACACTGGTCTCTGCTCCCCTTCACGCCCACTACCGTCTCCTATGGTGAGAGCCAGCGGGTGGCAAGGCAGGCTCTCACCAGCCCAGGTCTGCGGCCAGGAGCAATCACCGCACTGCTCTACCTGTCCCCTCCTCAACGGGGGCGGCTAGCTTGTATCCATCTCCCTCCCTCAGCAGCTAAATTCCACAAAACTTTCAAAGAGAGGTTAAAATTTCCAAGGTAATGGAGTTCCTACATGTCTAGGGATATCTGGTTGAAATTTGCCAGCATACGCCAAATTATTCAGGAAAGGGGGGAAGAGAGTAGAATTGAGAGCGCGCACAGGTACACAATGCTCATTTTCTTACAAAACCCAGCACATATTGCCTTTTTAAATTAAATAACAAAAATAATAAAATAAGCATGTAGGCACCTAGCTCCCGTGCATTTTCAGTAGAAATGGTATGACTCATCTTTAAAATATTCTGTCCAAACTGTACATGGCTGGATTCATGCACTACTCTGAAGAGTAGGTCTATATTTGAAGATTTAATCCGTAATACTTGTTAATTTTGAAAAATCAAGAGGCTCACCCAGTTTACACCTGTGAACTTTTGCACATTTCACCAGACATGTACATGAAAACGTAATTTTGACGTTATTAGATTTATTCTTTTCTATAAAGTCAGAGATTTTCTCTTAAAAACTTTATTACTTTTAGTAATATTTTTATCTGACTTATATTAAGGCAAAGGTAGATTAGCTCTTCATTTTTGCAGTGCTTGACCCATTGGAAAACATATAAGCAGAAGGAAAAACACAGCTCGTATCAGTAGAAAGGCAGCTTATTCTAGTTCCAAGTGAGTATCTGTCAACATCACAAAACGAGCATCCTCTTTAAAACAAGAAAACCAAAGAACTGCTCAGAGGAAGTACCGATGAGGGCTGCAGTGTATTGGCAGAACGGAGTGCAAAGGTAGAGCCACTCCAACATACAAAATATATTAAATAATGAATTAAAATACATAAAATTGAGAAATTAAGGTATATTAAAAGTGCATGTTAAAAAGTTGAAACTTACTATACCTACAGCCTAAATACCACAAAAGAAAATTTAATGCATGTAACATTTTCAAGAAAACTGTCCCCCATAATATATTGGAATATAAAAGGAAGCACCCAGTAACAAGTGGATAATTCAGTTAATGTTAGAGGGAAACCAACTCTAAAATGAGGCTCAACAGATGTGCTAGCAGTTTATAGTTGAAGCAGAGTAATCCACCAACTGTGAAACATTACCTTCAAAAGCCATTCTTTAATATCGAAATCTGTGCAAAATATCCCGTAAGAGTATCCCATAAGAAACTTACAGAAGCTATTGCTGAGAGGTTAAAAAGAAGATCTGCCAGTGGTGTGGATACCATGTTGGTACCGTGCTGCAAACTCATCAAAAGTAAAACCGAACAAGAGAAAATTGCGGACTACGTTAATCCTGATTTTTTACAGCAAAGCTGCATATCCTGCTGCACTAAATACTTTTTCCAGAACACACAGCTGAATCATCCAGGATGCTCAAGAGCCAAAGGAAATGCTGGCCAAATGGTTTGTTTTGATTTCCAGCATGCCTGGTGATCAATATCATTAGCTATTCTGGGTTTAGTGACGTCAAGGCAAAACTTTTTTCTTAACGGAAATACACTCATGAACTGAAAGAAATTCCCTCCAGAAAAGTCCAAAGAAACATCTGTGGCCAAACAGCTCTGACTGCATTACTTTGCCGCTCTTTGATCTGCCTCTGGCCTCTTGAACTTCTCATGTAGCAACGATGTAGCCTTGTCCACTGTGCCATAAGAACAGATGTTTTGAATTCAAAAGGCAGCAAAGTAGTCAAAATGCATTTCTAAACTTAAAAGAAGTTTAGAACTGGATTTGAGTTTAGAATGGAATTGAATTTCCTTTACACATCTTCGCTTTGCAAATGGGAAGCAGAATGGATGTCCTTTGGGACTCATAAATGCTGCATCATCATTCTGCTTACCATTACAAATACAAATGACTTTGCTTTCTTTTCCTGTGCAGCTTTTTGAGACAGCGTGTGCAGTTTTTTTGCCCTACGACAGCCTGAATAAGCTTCCATAAGCCTGAGTAAGCTAGAGAAGGGAATCCTAAACATACTTTCCTCAGGACTACTTATGGATAACAGCAGCATCTCCTGGACATACACATGTAGCAAGTGGCATCAGGCATCTCACGCAGCATTTCTGTACCGCGTGCTGTGACATAGGTATGGGGCACAAACCACTGACTGGGACCTAATGGATTAGATGAACAGAGCCAACTTCTAATGTGTCTCTTTTTTCACGATATAAAAAAAGAGTAACACAAATCCTTCCTATAAAGTGCTGCAGTGTTTATCTTTTCTCCTATTAGTTATAATCTGAGCCACCAACTTAAGCATTAGTATTTCCATAGCTCACAAAGCCAGGCTGTGGATATCGTCCACAATTGAATTTGTGTAGTCTGCCGCCACTCACAGAGACACTCTGCCAATTACCGCAAAGGCCTGGACTGGTATGCAATGATGATTGGGTAAGATATAAACCTATAGAAACACAGCAGGTTACTCGAAGATCAGAGGATTTTTTTTCTTCAGGAACAGTTCATTGACGGATTGCTGATTGACATTGACTACTTAGAGCTCTGCCAATAAGTTTTATATTGTAGCTGCCCTTGAAGCATAGATTTATCTTGCTTCTCTTCCTTCTTCTGCAGTCCCTGCTACAGACTGTGTGGCACTGATGATTCCATGTGATTGCAGATGGTCTCTCTCTCCTTCCTCCACCCCAGCAAAAGGGCACCAGGACGAGAAACACCCTGCTACCTGCTACAGAACTAGCCAAGTTGTCATTAACCATTTTGTTCTTTCTAGTCACTATAAAACCGCTTACTTCACTGGTTTAAAAGGATCCACACAGGCATAAAGAATGTGATCCTTTGCAGCTAATCCATTAAAGTAACAAAAATACTTAAATTTCACAGACTCCATTAATAACTATAAAGCTTTTATTTGTGTGTTGCTCAATTACAGTCTAGCTTCATATCCACAAGGAACAATGCAACATTAACGTTGTTGTAACGTACATCAGCGGTTCTTAGGAGAATGTTACAAGATGACAAAAGAGTCTGAGTAAAATTGGATGGTACATTTATTGACTTAAAGGTTCTTCAAAAATTCAATTCATAAGCAGAAACTGCTTTTGCTACTTTCAGATAAACATGTTAGTTTTACACCTCTGTAGAGTTTCCAAGTATTTTCATTCTACTACAGAGCATTCAGGGAACGGTCATTGTTATTGTTAGCTCTTCTACCAAAGCACAGCTCTACTAAAGCCAGGATGTGATTTTGGAATTTTTAATCAGGAAAGATGTTCGGTGAATCAAATCTCCCCATATGGTAAACCTGAATTCTTGTAAGTTAAAATGTATCATCCTATCCTGAAACTGCAAAATACATTTCTGTGATGGTTTTCCCCCCACTGCTAATGAAAATGACCACCTCATTTAGTTGCAGAATCACATACAAATAATTCAGTTGACCAAAGTACATATGTATCTGGAAAAATGTAGGAATGCTTTTCTGAAATTCTGACAGAGACAGAGCAAGGGAATACTTAACAGCATCTCATCAGATAATTCATTCTTTTAAATATGTAGTGAATGCCATGCTTATCAAACTCATTTACTTGCTTTGCTGAATTCATGTCTGTGTCTGGTTCCCTTTGCTGAATTCTACAGTTTAAATTTTAAATAAAAATTTTACTTTATAGTTTAAATTCTAATTTTAAATAAAGTTTTTCCTTTACTTTCTGTGCACTGTGCAGTATTCCATTCGTATTTGTGGTGAAAGTGATTCACCAACAACTGATGGGAGAAAATGAAAAGGTGTTGCTTACGCCATAAGTAGTGGTGATAAAGCTGGCAGCATTCACAAATATCATCTTGCAAGATATTTATTCTAACCTTTTTAGTCTAGAGGAACTTTGGATTGTATACATGAAAATTTTGCTTTGGAGTGAGAAGGAAGGGAAGAAATCTTATCAACACTAATGAGATGAAGGTGACAAGTACATTTCCTACAGACTTTAAATGAAAGATGTGATTAAACAAACCCAATCAAAAGCAAAATACAAGAGAAAAGTTGTGAATAAACTTATGGATGCTTGAGGTTTATAAGGCAGTACAAATTATTCTGTTTATTACTGCATTATCAGAAAAAAAATCATCTATATGAAAGCTAACAGTCACCTTGGTTAGATATAATCCATACACATACTACATATTACAAACAAACATATGCCACAGTTGAGATTTAAATGACTCCTCCATCCATTATTACCAGAGACCTACAACAAAAGGCAATTTGTTTTAAACTAAGTAGATAGTTCAAGTAGCTTCTGGAACTAGATGACAATGCAGGACGTGACCAGACAGATGCTAGAATCACACGTGACGATTTCTTTTTCTTTATGTTTTTACCACTAGTTTTTCTATTTGATTGCTACTTTGGTTATGAACCAAAAACAACCCCAATTTTGGTCATCAGCATGCTGATCTAGATTAAAAAAAAAAAAAAACCTCAGGGCATTCTATTACTCAGTTTCCAAAACAACAAAATTCTTTGCTGTAGGCTTCTGATACGCATCACAGTAACTATGTATCACACTAGATATACTAATATATAACACACTATATATCCTATGCATCGCACACCATCTGACTGTAAAACTGAAACAGGTTGTATTTAGGTAACTCTGAACTGTAATTCACCTTCTTGTCAAAAAGCACCAATTTTGGTATATAAACTAAGTCTTAATATTTGCAACTATTTTGTATTTATATATAAGCATTTTGTTGCAAATATATGTCAATAAATAGATATCAAGTCTAAACAAAGACAATATGTAACGTTCAGCAGTCATTTGCATGAGTGAGATGAGGTATCTGAAGAAAATCAGATTTAAAGGCATAGTTTACAACGTTCTGTAAGACTTAAATTTGGCAGGGCTGGAAAGAAACACAATATGTTCTACAGCCTGTATAATGAGATAACTTACATAGATCACAATTTTCCACACTTCCTTGATTTGGAATTACTTACACACTATCTACAATCCATAGAAGGAAAAAAAAAAAAGTCAACACCAACAAGCATAATCTGAACTGAAATAACAGCAATAATTATAGGTAAACACATTCATATAACTATTCCCTAATACATTTGTCAGAAAAGAACTAATTGTACCTCCAGCCATTTCTAGTTATATATTATGACTTTTCTAAGATGATAACCTTTTTCTTTCTGAGATCCAATATTGCGGAACAAGTAGCAGGCTCAGTTTCTATTTCATTATGTCTTTAAGTAAGAGGCAATTTAGCACTTAACAAAATATTATCATTTTGGATATACCCAAACTAAATTTCATTAAAAAGTGTAGTATACAGTTTGTCATGAAAAGCAAGTCTAATTTTCAAATTTGGTATATTTAAAAGGTTAGAATTACTATGCTTCAGAAGCTTTAATATGACTGTACTTACACATGAGCTTATTCATAGCAGCTTACTAATATTTTGCAAGATATGCTTCCAGCATTTTCTTATAAAATATCTCCATATATGTGGCATTCACTGTTAGGAAAAAATATTAATCTATCTGGCAAATTCTGACACCTGCTTCTACACTTCAAAGTCACAGACGTTTACCCAACATGCAAGCACACAATTAACATTAAACAAGCATTCTAGTCACTCCATTGAGGTTACACACAAATGCTAAATGTGTATGCTTAAATGCTATGTTTCATTGAATCACAGCAATGTATTAATGCAGTCTTGAGTTTCACATTTAAAAAGACACTGTAAGAAGGCAGAGATTTTAGCTATATCTTTTTTTCTGAATATATATCCTTTGACAGAGTGATTATTCTTGAACGTTATTTCTAATGAGGTACAAGAAATCATCCTTGCTATTTAGGAAGTGTTTACAATTTATGTGCTAAGTTCTAACTACTCTAACTATGCTGTACTACCAAAAAAAACAGATTGACACAGGTTAGTCCGTCTGTCTGTCTGTCTGGTTTTTTTTTTGTGCTTGTCTCTCATTTTCTAAAAGATCATTTAACTGAGTAATTCCTGTCTGATTTTCTCACTAGCAATCCAATAAGGCATTTACTGCAATGATCACACCAAAAAAAGGACTACTGTAGGTTTTCCTTTCATACTGAGATACTCAGATGTGATTTCAAAGATCATAACAGTCACCTAACTTCATCCTCTACCCCATGGTATCATACTACCCCGTAATATCAGACTATCTAGTTTCTGACTAGTAACTGTACTAACATGAAGCTTGCTAAGTGCACAGCGCACGAAAACAAGAGGGGCTGATGAATAATCAAGCTGGGGGAAGTAATTAATAGTTTATTTGTATAAGCTCTTCCTCTACAGATGTCTATACAACTCTTTAGTTAGATAACTTAATTATTTGACTTTGAACATCAAACCTTTATTCTGAAGAGCTTATCTGTCTTATGGCCAATACTGTCCAAAAGGCTTGGGTGTCTTAAAAGAATGAAGGTATGTTGTAGGAAGGATCGCTCCCATACCTTTCTTTATCTGTCCTATAACAAGATGAACTTGTGTCTTCTGCAGACTAAATAAGAATAAATAGATGCAAATAACATGGGAATTTATAATTGGCAACATGCAATTAATTTCATAACACTTTAAAAAACTTCATGCAAATGTATCCACTAAATCAAGAAGCATTTTAAAATCTCAACAGTAAACAGCACAAATGAGAAAATCCTATGTACATACCACAGTGCTTCCATTGTGCATGTTATGCGTGTCCTTATGGGCATGGGCACAGAAATCTATGCAAGCTGTTACACCAGAGAAAGGCCTACCGTCCTTGGATCCGAGCCGACAGTCTGGGCCCATGTGTTCATTTTCCACCTGAAAGTAAAATAAGCTACAGGTACTTAGGACTGTAAGGGAGCGACTTAGCACCTCATGAGCCACAACTGCACTTTTGACAGTCAGTAACCATTACCAGAAAGTACCTATTTTCCACTGAAACATGTAACACTTATTCCCGGCTGTCAACAAGATAATCAGCTCAGCTAGAATCAAATATCTCTAAACAGTAAAACCTTTTATTTATAATATTGTTTGTAAGACTCTTACATGCACATAGCTCAGGGCATAACTTGACCATCAGCGGAAGTCAGAAAGACTTTAAAGTATTTAAAGAAATACTTTAAAGTATTTTAAAACTGACCAAATGAAGCAACCAGAGTAAGCAACAGGACTCACCCTATCTGTGAGCTCTGTGGCTTTCTATACATTAACACACTGTGCGGTTTCATCTTGTTTTTTAACTAAGCTGACTGTTTAGAGCTACAGTTGCCCTACTTGAATATCACAGACCTACCTGGTTCTGAAAAGCTTCAGGAGCAAGTTTTTTATAAACTGGAGCCACATCAGTAGCTAAAGTTTGCAAGTTATTTTCAAGAAGCTCCTCCTGCAGATAAAAACAACATTTAGAGAGTTGTAATTTACTTTAAAAGACTCTGATCCAGTTTAGAGATGTTCAACACAAGTCAGTAAAGCTAAGAAAGTCCACCTCTATCTTATATTTTATTAATCTGACTTCTTTTCTACTGTCTTCTGTCACTAGCTGTAATAAGCCTACTGTTCCAAATTATCAAAATTGATAAATGCAAGTAAATCAAGTAACAATGGAGGATATGTGATAGGGCAAAGAAACCCAATACACAAGGAATTACTTTCTGCATCATTTCCGTCTTCACATATATAGACAATCAAGGAAACAGGTATGTTCTGCACAAAACAGAAAAGTAATGTCCGTAAGAGAAAAAAAATTTCTACATGGAGGTAGACTCCCATGTCTTTTGATAGTGCTTTTCTTGATGGAGACTTAATTTATACCAGTACAGTTCCTGCTAAAGAAAATCCTGGGCTTCTGCCTTAAAAAAAAAGAAAAGAAAAGAAAAGTAAATTCCAATAGCATTTTACATTATTTTCAGCTTTTTGTGAGGGAGTTAAATTTCTAACATTGTAACAGAACTTCTATCAGGAACATTTGATATTTCGTTCTTTTGAGGTGCAGAAGTCTCAGGACTTTATGGAAATACCTACTAAATTTGGAAGTCATATTCAGTTCTCGGGGAAAAGCCTTATAAACACGGAACTGACTAGATGGGCTTCCATAGTGGTATAACATTTAAGCTCTTATTTACTCAAACGTGATTCCCAATTTCTCTTTTCCTAAATTTTGGCTTTGCCAGGAAAATCACCAGACAGCTGGGAAAGGAAAGATGGCAGACTGAATGTGGGATGACATATTCCCTAACTTGCTTTCCTCCACAGGCCAGGCTTTTGGAGACAATTGCAGCTTCAGTTTTGCGTACTGTACAGTGGCAAAAAATAAGAGCTTATTTTGTTTTACAGAAAATGTCTCAATATATGCCGTAAATGTCCATGTATATAAATATAAAAGTACACTTTCACATTTTTCAATGTGATGTTACATTATAAAATGAAACTATACTTTAAAGCCATACTATAGTCAGTTATATTAACTGTTGATTGCTACCACATGTTCTGAATTGCACTGAAGGTAATACATCCTTAATTATCTATCCTATGTACTATTCTTACCTAGGTATATTACACCCTTAACCTCATCTCACTCCATCCAGTGCCTCAAATGATCAAACGATCCAAATCTTTCTGGACTTCAAATCTATCTTCTTAATTTGCTATACCTCCTAGCTTTATGTCATCTGCAAAATCATCAATATCCAGTTTTTAGCTGAAAGAATTATCTGCTACTAAAATTAATGACAAAACCAAATGAAGAGAAAAGTTATTTACTGTGAAATTCATTTTTCTGTGATGGTGATGCACTGCCAACCTGTGCACACACACTGCAAACGCCCAGGCACCACCTTCACCTAGAGCAGAAGGCTTTCGCACAGTGGTACCCTAAAAGGTGCACATGCTGCCTTCACAGGTGACCTACAGTTATGAAGTTGTGTGCTCTGTACATCCCTCAACCTCTCTTAGCTGCAGAATCCAAGGAGGCTTTAAAACTTCCAAGAAAAAGGAGGAAATAAGAGAATGTGTGCGTAGATCAGACATCTAGAAAATGTCCATTTACTGGGTAGGTAATCTTCCCTTTCAGGTAACTGTTTATATACACTGTGGCACAAAGCATCCACCTTGACAAAGCAGCTAGTTAACCTGTGATTAACAGGCAATGCCAAACAGCTCTCATCAGCAGGGTATCACTTCTAGATGCCTTTACAACGCTGTTGTGCTGGACTACGTTTCTGAACGCAGCTCAAGGTGGCCATTTCACAGATAAGCAGGAAGCAAAGCCACCAGCATAGCCTGCTGCCTTGTGGAGTGTATTTTGGTCACCAGAGAGAGATCTATTTTAGCAGTCTTACATTGTAAGAGTTCTGAACACAGCCTAATATTTGCTGGACAAGGCATATGACAATTGCTACCTTCGTTGGTCTCCCAGCTAATGAAAAGCATCAGAAATCATCTGAAGGGCTTGATCATGCCATCTTGCAGGTGGGTCAAGCTGACATTGTCATTTAAAGGTTATCTCTGCCTTAGAGGGCAGAGGGGCCTAAGACAGACACCTGGTAAGTTAATTTCTTAATTTAGCTGAAATTCGTATGCTATTTGGGCAAGAATTTTTGCTGGCTCCTGAAATTCTACTCAGAGAGAAAAACAGATACAGAGAAAACAGCAAACAGGGCCTGGATCTTCTATCAGATAGGAGAGCTGCCGTAAGAGCCACCTTCATGCTTAGGTGGAATAGTGAGCAGGTTGCCATGAACTCAGGAATGTTGCCACATGAGTCACTATAGGCTCAAATCCTACTGAAGAATGGCTCTGCACCAAAGGTAACTTGTTGATCAAACCCCTGAAGAAAGGAGAAAATAGAAAAGCTCTAAGCAAGAGAATGAAAAACAGAGAAAATTAGTCAGAATAAAAAAAAAAAAATCTAATCCATCTGTTCCCCACACAGGAGGAACAAACTTGTCCTAGCAATGGGATGAATAGGTACAGAAGCTAGAACAAAACAACTGTCCTAAGTACAGCGTTGGCAGATATGGAAACACAGACACATTCCTGAATTCCTCATAACTGGACTGAAAAGATCCTGAAATAAAATCCTAGTCTATCTGGATTGGAGAAAGGTCTTTCTGACAGGTCCATACAGCAAATAAGCTAGCTGGAACTGGACCATGCACCACAACCCACATGATGACTCCAGAATGACCTTTACTAGAAAATATAGTCTCTCTATTAGGGACTGACGCAATAGGTCCATTGAAAGCATATTTCCACTACTGTAAGCAGCAGGTGCAGAGAAAATACACACACAGAATGCTCCAGGCACACAATTATGCAAGAGGAATACTCAAAAAATCAGGATCACAGAGAAAAGGACAAAGGAGAAGGGATAAAGGAATACCCAATAAACAAGTTTTTCTCTAAACTGAAAGTTCATAGAAAATAAATCCTGTCCTGAGACAAAGACATCGGAGATGGGCAGAGCTATTTCCAGCTTGTACTGCTTTAGCCATATATTCCCTGCAAAAAAAAGGAGAAAGGCCATGGGTGCCCTATTCTGCTTCGGTAAAAGTCTCCCACTCGAAGTGCTAGTGGCGTTTGTGATTATCCGCCCACAATGTAAGTAGACAGCACCTCTCAAAGAAAAAAGAAGGTTTTGCAGTGTGACTTTATTTTGTATTTTTCCCAGTGCCTTTTAATATATGATGGCTAAATTGATTGGTATTCATCTACATGAGCATAGAAGATGCTTATCAACTCTCACAGGAGGAGGAACTTGGGGGAAATATTTATCTCCAGTGAACAAAGTGAAATCTCCGTCTTCCAAGAAACAATGTCCAAACCACACATGAAAAAAATGTAAGAATACTTCTGCTACTGTCTGGACTTCAATAAGCTAGGTCTTTTCTGTCTCTGGCAGCAGTGGAGGTTCAGGAGGTTAAGACAGACTGGCAGGGTAACCCAGAAGGAGAACTAGGTAACAGATCACCACCATACAGTACATATATCTTCATAATACTTTTATCAAGGAGTTCCATAGGGAAGTAGAAATCAAGACATCTCAATCAGAACAAAAGTGACTTTCAAGTTGCTCTGCGGATTCTTCCTGCTGTATGGCCATCAGGCAGTGGTTATCAGTTTAAAACAACTTTTATGTTTTCTTCAGAAAAATATTTCCAACGTAAAAAATGATTTTTTTTTTTAAGAGGTCTGTGTTACTTTGTATAATCCATTACTATATTTTCTGTGTTAGCGGAGCTTTATGTCATTGTTAATGCTCATAAGGAGCAATTATAGCGTTCTTTAATTGCATCCTATTTTAGTGCATTAATTCCCTCAGAGTGTTTTAAAAACATGTTGTCCAAGGAAAAAAGTTTATTCTAGATGGAAGGCAGAAGATGAGATTGTCAGCTGTCAGAGCAATGTGAGAGGAGTGAAATTCAAGGTACAGAATCTTCTACGATAAGGCAGAAAGACCGAACCTCTGAGGTGTAGTCCTGGTACGGTGCTTAGAAGAATCTTTAGCTGTGGTTTTTATTTACACAGAATTAACATTTCACACAAATACAGAGGAGCTAAATGTGCATGTAGAAAAGAATTTAAGAATAAATTTAGGATATTAAAATGTATAATAAGAGACACTGACTTTTCATGCAGCGGAAAAAATTATAAACACTGAAGTTGCAAAACAATTTAGCTGGGTACACATAAGCTATGTATGTATATTTGAGAGAGAAGGGGTAAACGTTTGTAGATTCCACTTTAGTTCTGAAAATCATCTGAATTAATATTGGAGGAAAACAAAACAACAACAACAAAAACTTACTTGTTTAGAGTCATCAGTCAGAAGCCTAAATTTCCTGGGGTTTTTGCTTCTGGCAAATTTACAGCCATTGAAATACATACTCCATGAACAGCCAAATGAGAATGATGCTCCACAAGTTTCTGGATCAAGTCCTTGACATGCACACGTACGGCTATGAAAGGAAACAAAGGCATGGCAAGTCAGCTGGTAAAGCAGGCTTTTTTTTTTTTTTTTTTAAAGGTTAGTCCTATTTTTTAAATAATAAATAGCAAAATAACACAGGAATTTATAAAACACAGTTTAACCAGTTTATTTACTTTTAATGAGATATTTATGTGTAGAAGACTGGCTTATCTTTCTAAAAGACAAACTCAAATCCCAAAAGTCCCACTTTTGAGAAACAGGTAACACTGAGTTACATCTACATAAATATATCCATGCTATTGAGATTTTGATTTCTCTAGTTGGATAAAATTTTTAAAAGTGCAAGAAAATACAACTCTTACTGAAAGTCACCCCTAAACCCAATAATCATACACAGCTTATATTGTATATTATACATTTGTTATGTGTGTAGATAGTGTATCTCCAAATTGATCCAATTTTTAAAATGGAATACCACTAATTAGCCAGACCCTTTAAGAACGTGAACATTAGATTCAGGTCACTGTACATCTATTAGAGGGACTGATTAGATGTAGGCCACACAAAAATCACCACCAAGGCAGAAATGCTCCCGAGCCTCAGTTGCAACACATTAGCTGGTCAATTAAATTAAATTCCTCACGTTAGTTCGTCATTTCAGGCACAGAGCAGAAGATTCTAATTTTGAGTCTTCAGTCTCTCATTTATTAAGAAGTGTTTCAATTATGATCTACTTTATCTGAAGCAGCATAACAGAAGGAAGTGTGGCAGTGAAGGCTTAGCTGCCCACCCCCGCTTAAAGAATGCAGTGACTGCTCAGTTTTGCTTTATTCTGGATGTCAGCTAAAGAACAGGCCACAAGATGAGAACTTGTCAATGGAACTTTCACTGGTAGCACTCCTGCATTAAGAAATGCTTCCAGTATCACGGAGTGTACTCAAAACAGCAGTCACTGCTAGATGCCAGACATGGTTATATGTGGTGACAGATGGGAAGAGTAGAAGGCTGTTATTTGGAACAAAGCAATGACTAACAATGAGAATTCCCTGTTCTGAAACTTTTAAGAGAAGGCTGCCACCCTCTCCAAAAGACTACTGTCTGAAGAGTCATAAGCAGCATTTATTTCAGAAACCTCAAGTTGCTATTTTTTCAGTTTTGCATCTTAAGTAAAAAATGTTCCAAAGCAGAAATTAGAAGCAATAGGAAACACAAGTACACCTACAGCAACATTAGCTGAGGAACATGAGACAGCTGACAGTTACTACTACTGCTACTACTTTCTTTAAAAATGCGTCAACATAAGTAGCATGGCACACAACTGAAAAGAAATCACACTCGCAGTTATCCTGGCTCGATTCCACAGGATGCGATGTGCTCTGGTATGGGCCAGATATGCACTGCTTGAAGGAGAAGGCCTTCAAAGATCTCTAGGAGAGCACATGCACTGTCATCACCTGCAGGATAAAAGGGAGCATTGCCTTCCTCTCAGGCCCAGCCAGCCCTGCTCACTGACACAGTGGTGCAAGCCACATATCACCTTCTTACTGGCTATCTAGCATTGGTTTGGGTGTGAAAGGTACACTGGCTGTCTTGTACTTAGGCAGTATGTGCAAAGCTAGGAAAGAAGCTGCGTAAAGGGCACACTGACTGTGTCTTGTCCTTAAGGCAGCGTGTGCAAAGCCAGGCGAGAAGTTCATCCCCACCCCTTTCCCTGAGCACACCTGGCACAAGTACCACGCTCACGTACAGCCTGGTCTCTAGGAAAAGCCAGGAACCAAGTTTTATACTAAAATGACACCTAGTGGTTTGCAGTTTAAAGTAAGCTTTTGTATATTTATTAGTAGCAGTACTAGTATTGAATTCTCAAGTTTTTCTTTCATGCAGAAAGACACTCAAACAGCAACGCAACATCAAGTACTACTCGTATAACTTACTCTTCATTTAACGCACATCTACGGCCAGTTCCTTGTACAGCGTATCAGCCAGAAGATGAGGGATTCCTTCCCAGGCCAATATAAGAATCACTATGACGGCAGTTTGACAGTGGTGTCCTGCACGCTGACGTACCAAGCACAGCAACTTTTCTTCATCACTACTTCTTCGTATCACCTGGAAAAATCATTTTGTTCATTCTCCGATAAACGTAGGAAACACTCAAAAGATCTGGATGTCTCATTCCTTCTATCTGCTTTACTCATTACTAAGTAAATAAATTGATTTCAAAACCAAGTAGAAAATAAGATGCTTAAATAATGCTAACTATTAAACTGCCCACATTATTTCCTCCTGAAGTCACTTTTGCGATCTGTCAAATTAGCTTCAGTGGAAGAAGCTGCACGCATGCAATCAATAGCAAAATTTAGCCTGCAGAGAATTAAACAGGGAGAACCAAGGTAAGTATTTTGTTGGTGTTATTTCCCAAAAGTAATTCACTGACTTTTTGCTTGTTTGTTTACATCTCAAACTTAGTCATGCTGAAATATAACAGATTTCTCCTCTCTTCCAGGCTGGGACATGTAAGACCCAAAAAAGTGAGAAATATTGCTGCCCAAAGAGTCCACACCAGCAAGCAGGACCGGCCAGGACAGCATCACACACTGGTCTCTGGTGCAGAATGTGATTTTTGCATTGCCTTTCTACCTGTAGAAGAAACGGCAGCATATTTTACAGAAGGAGGAATATTTTCAGTGTCCCAGTCTATACAAACAAGAAAGAAGGTGAATTAAGAAGAAAATAATTATCCTAAAATGACAGACCCACTGAAAACCTAACAGTTGTCCTGAAATGGTACTGAAAATGTTATCTCCCAAAGCCAGAAGGCCAGTACATAAACGCATACCACACAGGCACATGTATATATGTGTTAGAACAGTTACCATGGTTACGTATCAGTAGACAAAAAGGTTCCCACCTTGCAAAATAAAAATATCCAAGAAAGCGATGAAAATAAACACGCTGTGATCTTACTGCAGGAAAAACTAGATTCATCTTAACAACATCTGCTAGCTGATCTATGTTGAAGTCCTGAGCAGAGTTGTGAAGCTTTTTACTAAATTGTAGCTACACAATGCAATCTTAGTCAACCTTATCCATACAACATACCAAAGACCGAACATAACATGGAACAGTATGATGGCTTTTAATACAGCACTGAATAAAAAAAATGCCTGATAGTCTAACTCCCACCTTTAGTAGGTTTTTGTCATAATTTGAAACAAAGTTGTATTATATTCAGACCAAAAAAAATTCATTAAAGATAGATAATACTAGAATACAAACAAGCAAAAGGAGCTTACCAATTTTTCCGATATGTTTTGAACAGCCTGGCCTCTATGAGGCATCTAACAAAGGGGTCAAGACCTCAGTGTAAAGCTTCAACGACCACGTATTAGGCTTGGACCTCTTTCGTGTGATAGAGGCCAAATTCTCCTCCACAGTCTTATTGTACGTAAGATGCGGATCGGTGAGAGTCTCTCCTCCTTACTGCAGATGGTCAGCCCTTACATTGCAGATGCTCTCTGGAAGCTCCTTTGCTATGTGCACACTCAGGGCAAGCCGTCACTCACCCTCGCTCTCCACCCCAACACCTCCCTCAGTCAGCACACCTCAGGTGGATATGGTAATAACAATGGACCATAAAAGCAAGACAACAGAGTTTCACCTGTCCTTTGGAGACCTTCAAAAGTCTGGGTTTTCATGCAGATTACCCATCGGACTGACGCCAAAGTTCCTCTGTTGCCAGACACGCGGCTAACTGTCACATGCAACTCCTAGTCTGGTCAACTGTGAATATCTAAATTATTGGAACTAATTAAGAGCAGGGACCAAAGCATCCTTGCAATTAATCTGCAAATGAAAAGATTTTCAATAGACCAACAGTTTCAGTGGAAATCTGTGCAGACTTAGCAGGAAGAAGAAAGCTTCGAGTTAATTTGTGTCAAGAGAGAAACTATCGTTCTTTTAAAGTTAATCATACAATCTTACAATAAGCCTTAAACTTAATGAGAAAACAAGTAAAAGCTTCTGAGATACCACTGCACAAAAGGAGTCTTGGTTGTGACTGACTAACCCGTACAGTATTTTCTATAAAGAAAGAAAAATAATGCTGCTCATTTCCATTTGAGTGAGGTTTAGAGAAAACCTATTATGGCTGATAGACAATACAGATTATTCATGTCAGTGTGAGCTTTACATTCTTTAGGCAGCACAGTTCCTTCAACTCAGAGAAAGAGGAATTTCATTTTGTTACTCTGCATGAAGGGTGATGCTTTTAATCTCTTTTCCTCTTTGTTTTCCAGACTTCATAATTTCAATAAGGGACTCTAGTACCTCAGCTTCTCAGTACAAAATCAAGTTGTACTTTGTGAACTCTCATATATTTCTAAATTGGAAATATACCATCCAGGACAAATAATAAATGGAAGGGAAAGGAATTTACAGTTTCCTTTCAACTAACATCCTACCTCCCTGCAGTTAAATACAGATGGAATTTGTTTAATTATCCATGCAGTGGATAACGCGATACTCTTATTGGATCCCAAAACATTTTATGATACATTGTCTTTCAGGCACGAAGCTGGCTAATAGATCTATCAGTTGTCTGGATTTTATTTCTGTGGCTCTTAAGATGTTATGAATATACCATATGGCCATCTGACTACTGCAGCTGGAGCTCCTTCTCTCCTTTCATTATCAAAAGTAAGGCACTTTTCTCACCTGACGGTTCCCATTTTCAGAACGGCACTACTCACACCAATGGGGCTATGCTTCCTCCCAGCCCACTGCTGGTGATGGTGCAGACAGAGCTCTAGCCATATTGCTTCCCACATACAATCATGATGCCCATTTGCAATCTATAGTCTACGCTCTCAAAGCGGTAATAAACAGAGCCTCTCTTCAGTACTAACAGTAAATCCATGGCAATATGCACTCTAATATGCAGAAAAGCAAATGTGAGCAAGACAACTGGCTACAGAACAAATCCAGTAAACAGAAATGCCATATGATTCTTTACAATGTAACCATTTTTCTAATGTGAAGAATTGTCACTGTACTCCTTGATTTACTGATTTATACTTACTTACGCTACACTGATGCGGTTCCATTAATTTTTAATTTGTCGTTTGCTTTCTAGCGCCTACGTCAAAAACGTTTCCAAACTCTGTAATAAATTGCATGTTAAGTTAAAGAAAAAAACAATCGTATTTGCCTTTCTTACTAGACTCGTAGTCATCTGAAAACTAAGAAAAAACAAGAAACTGTCTACTGCTTATCAAGATTTTGTCTAATGTGCTTACAGACTGGTTTTCTTACTGTTTTTCTAAGTAATGGGCCTAGTAAGGTTTTACTTGACTGATCATTTCTTGGATTGATCTTTTTATTTAGTTTAGATGTCAACAATATATTTACTTCCATTACACTTATGGCAGCTTGAAATGATTGGGGATGATTGCGATATCTGTTAATCCTTAAACCACCCCAAACTATATACACTTTTCACTGACTACCACTCACCCCAACTCCCCCCACCATCTACTTTTTGGAAAACATCATACTTGTGTAAAATTCATACAACAGCAACATCATCTTAATATAGTCATCAAGAGATTAGCATACATAGAATCTAGTTGTTTTTTGTTTTGTTTTGCTTTTTTTCCAGCATGCACTTGCTATAACAATCCTCCTCGATAAGGCAAATAAAATTAGTATACTGTTATAGCTGCAGAGAATACAACACTTGTGCAATTTAGAAATCAGTTCCTCATGCAGTAATTTAAAACGCAAGCACATGTGCTATTGGAACATGTAAGCATAATTCCCAGTGTACTTATTGTTTAGCTATGAAACACTGAGGTGCAAAATATTAAATAAAATGTGCAACAAATACAACAAGTCACTGAATTTGTTTTTCTGACTGTAAACAATGCACAAATCAGCAGCAAAACCTATCTCCCAAAGTTATCAATATGACTCATTATTTTTGTGATGCAGTTAAAAATGATGATGTAGATAATCTATTACTTCACTTTCTTTAATAATAGTCCCTAAAGAAGGAATAAGACAATAAAAGCAAATTTAGTTGGTGAAAATTTAAAGCTAGCTTTTTATAAAGGGGGGGAAAAAAAAATTTCCCCAACAATTTTTTCCCCACAAAAAAAATCTGTCTTCTTGGTGGCTCTAATAGTGAAATAATATAATGAACAAAACAGGCTTTTAATAAATTTGTAATGCATTAAGTAACACTTCTTAACTTTGTATGATAATCTTTTTGCAGGGATGAAGGGGCAGATTATCACTGAAGTCATCTTAGCAAGCAATAACTGTCATCGCTATTAACTTCATATCCATCGAAAGTTTCCTATATTTGCAATGAATAAACTACTTCATCCGCAACAGAGCACTTCTGGAAAGCAGCAGATCTGACACGCTCCCCTACAATGCCTGACCCACCAGCCCTGTTCTGCATTCGCAGTAACTAGGCATGAAGTTACATGCTACTCAGTCCTTCACCTTTTTTGCTAACATAACCGTGTCTAGGACAATAGGAAAAACTGAAAAGGGACAAACACCTCCTTCCAAATATCTTTTTTTTGCATATACATGTTAAAGCTTGGGGTAATACAAGTATCATACTTGTCGGACACTGATTTGGTCAGGGTGCTCATTTATTTTGGTTGTTTTCAAAAATAATTTTTGTACATCCCTCCTGTGTTGTCGTCTTCCACCCGCTACTACCACTTTCTGTACCATGCCTGTTCTGAATTACGGCTATCTATGTGTTCTTATTTATGCATAACATCTAAAGGAAGACCGTAATTTCTTTTGTTAGCTATCCTCGATATTCTGGAATGGCAGATTCAACTAATACGAGCAAGTCTACAGGGTGAGCCCAAAGTCTGTCAGATAGGACAGAAATACAATCAGCAGCTGTTACGGTAACATACCACAGCTAAACCTGTCTTTCTACAAGCCACAAAGGTAGAAATAAACCCAATTTTCTTAACAGAAACCATGAGCCGAGAACTAGAGTACGTTCATTAAAGAGGTGCCCTAAGCAGAATTTGTTGCAGCAATTTAGCAACAAATTATAGAATAAGAAGAGCCAATTT